CAGTACTGTAAATTATCAGTCTATCAACTAGAAAATCTACCTAAATTACTAAATAACAATATTTAGGTTACTGAATAATGATATATTCAAAATAACTGTATAACTAATACCTTTTAAATATTGTAGATTTGTGTTTTTGTAGAATAAGTTACAAATTTCTAATTTAAGGTGAAAAATGTCTTCAGAGTTATAGTGGAGATTGATTATTTAAAATATTTTTAAAATACTAGCTGGTTCTGAATCCAAAGATTAATACTGATTATGACTAGAATGTAATCAAAGTTAGTTCAGTCGCTCAGTCATGTCCGACTCTTAGCGACCCCATGGACTGCAGCACGCCAGGCCTCCCAGTCCATTACCAACTCCCGGAGTTTACTCAAACTCATATCCATTGATTTGGTGATGCCATCCAACCATCTCATCCTCTGTCGTCCCCTTCTCCCGCCTTCAATCTTTCCCAGTGCCAGGGTCTTCTCCAATGAGTCAGTTTTTCTCATCAGGGGGTCAAAGTATTGGATTTTCAGCTTCAACATCAGTCCTTCCAATGAATATTTGGGACTGATTTCCTTTATGAAGGACTGGTGGGATCTCCTTGCAGTCCAAGGGACTCTCAAGAGTCTTCTCCAACACTACAGTTCAAAAGCATCAGTTCTTCGGTGCTCAGCTTTTTTATAGTCCAACTCTCACATCCATGCATGACTACTGGAAGAACCATAGCCTTGGCTAGACGGACCTTTGTTGGCAAAGTAACGCCTCTGCTTTTTAATATGCTGTCTAGTTTGGTCATAACTTTTCTTCCAAGGAGTAAGCGTCTTTTAATTTCATGGCTGCAATCACCATCTGCAGTGATTTTGGAGCCTCCAAAAATAAAGTCTGCCACTGCTTCCACTGTTTCCCCATCTATTTGCCATGAGGTGATGGAAGCAGATGCCATCGTCTTAGTTTTCTGAATATTGAGCTTTAAATCAACTTCTTCACTCTCCTCTTTCACTTTCATCAAGAGGCTCTTTAGTTCTTCTTCACTTTCTGCCATAAGGGTGGTGTCAGCTGCATATCTAAGGTTATTGATATTTCTCCCAGAAATCTTGATTCTGGCTTGTGGTTCATCCAGCCCAACTTGTCTCATGATGTACTCCGCATTGAAGTTAAATAAGCAGGTGACAATATACAACCTTGATGTACTCCTTTTCCTATTTGGAACCAGTCTGTTGTTCCAAGTCTAGTTCTAACTGTTGGCTTCCTGACCTGCATATAGATTTCTCAAGAGGCAGGTCATGTGGTCTGATATTCCCATCTCTTTCAGAATTTTCCAGTCAAAGTTAAGGACCACCGATAATTTGTTTCTTATTGTGAGAATTATCTTTGAATTATCTAACTTGTTCCAAGCCTTCCTCAAGCAGTGATTGCATGTAATTAAGAAGGATATCACATAGAGACAGCATATATTTTACAGAATATTTGTTCTGCCAGTAACTTGGTTACATTGTACATGAACATTTTCCTTATTCCTATTCTTTCTCTCTCTTATGTCTTCCTTTTTTTTTTCACCTTTTTAGAAAACTTTGTTCAATTATTCAAGGAACAATTTTTATCATTTGTGTGTGCTAGACCTTGGAGCTCTACAAAGGAATAGATAGACTTGATTTTAATTTAAGAGCTTCCAGTATAATTTAGGTAGTTTTGGTATGGATAGTGACAACACAGTATAGTGCCTGTTACAATAGCTGTTATATCGAGTGCTTATTAGATTTTTATTACTTCTGTAACAAATTACCACAAATTTTATGACTTAAACCAATGCAAATTTATTATCTTACAGTTCTATATGTCTGAAGTCAGAGATTTTACAGAACTATTAACAAGATGTTGACAAGATAGGACTTTTTTTCTAGATGGTTTAGGGGAACGTGTTTTCTTTTACAGCTTCTAGGGACTGCTTACATTCCTTGCTTTTGGTTCTCTTCCTCCAAAGTCTTGAAATTCAGTAACGTTGTATATCTTTGATTATTCTGTCACAGTTATATCCCTTCTGACTCTACTCAACCTGGAAACATTCTCTGAATTTGAGATCATGTGATTATGTTGGACACAGCCTGATAATTCAAAATGATCTCATCCCAACATCCATAATCTTAGTTACAGCTACAAAGTTTATTTTGCCATAGATGTTTAGTTGTTCTAGGGATTAGGATGTAAACATTTTTGGAGAGCCAGCATTCTACCTATCACATGCTACCCAAGTACAGAAGAATACCTCTTCTAGAATGGAGATGAAGAGTGTGTTCAAGGATGACTTTCTGGAAGAGTAATCCCAGTTTGGACCTAAAGGACAGATAGTCATTAACTAGGCTATAGAGAGAGGGTAGAACTGGTGCCCATTCCTGGAATAGAATGTGCAAAGACCAGAAGTTAAATGAATGGCTTTTAGGAACTAAAAATGTTCAGTATTATTTTTAACATGACACAGGCAGAGTGATGCAGCATAGTTATGAGACAAATATCAACAGACCCAATCCTATGGAACTTTGATGACCAGAGTGAAGAGTCTAGACTTCATTCCATGAACTGTGATCAGCCGCTGGAAGGTTTTAAGCAGATGAATGATATGATCAGATTTCTAACTTTGTAAGTTGGTCCTGCCTGAAGTGCAGGGAAAGGATGGAAGAGAGTGAGTTATGGTGGCAATAAAATCTTGAAAGGAGCCAGTATAGGGATTTAGGCTGGGAATTTGGTGGAGGGCTAAATATGAGTATTGGTAAAACTGGGAAATGTAGAAGGAGAAGGAAAAGTTATGATGGTCAGAGTGAGTGAGTATGGCTGTTGCCAGGTTGAGTTTGACTGATCCTTTAGGTGTAGATTTCCAGTCTGTGGCCCAGAAGTTTGAGTAAGAAATCTGGGCTGAAGATAATAATTAGGGACTTAAGGGGTACAGAGGATAATACTCTTTGTGAGGATCAGAAAAGAGAATCTAGGGCTATGCCCTTAGGAAACCCATCAGTTAAGAGAGGTACAGAGGGAGAAGAATTCAACAAATAAATGAACAAAAAAAGATGTGCCCAGAAAGATGGCGGGGGTGTGGAGCAGGGATGAGGGACAGAACGGTAAGGTGTGAAAGGATATTTCAAGAATGATGGTATAGTCAGTTCTCCAAGGCTATCATTGAATATCAAGCCTGAAAGATAAAAAGTAAAAGATTGTTCAGGACGTTATTACTTCTGCAAGAGTTAGCAGTTTTAAGGAATAGGTAGACTCACAATCTAGGGTTAAGTGTGTTGAGAAGAGAATGGACACATAAGAGATGGAGAAAACTGTACTTTTTGGACATTTGAGAAGCACCAGATGCTTGGGTATGTTGAATGCTGATAAGAAGGTACTAATCCTCCTCCCCCACTGATATGGCTCCCATGCAGTAAATGCTCACAGCAGAGATAGAGGCAGTGCTCCTCAAACTTACTCTCAGCAAGTGGCCCTAATGGTAGATGCAAGAAGCATATCCCCCTAGAGAGACAGTGGTGTGGCCAAAGCTTCTACAAGATCTTTGCAGAACCTATAGGAATCCTATTTATTGTGTCCAGAAGCATCACAGAAGAGATACAGCTAGTCCTCCAGGTGACAACTGTAGAATTGCGTGTAATGTAAACTATCTGGTGCCTCCCTGATAGCTCATCTGGTAAAGAATCCGCATGCAACACAGGAGGCTCTGGTTTGATCCCTGGGTCAGGAAGATCCACTGGAGAAGGCATAGACTACCCATTCCAATATTCATGGGCTTCCCTAGTGACACAGAGGGTCAAAAATCCACCTGCAATGAGGGATACCTGGGTTTGATACCTGGGCTGGGAAGATCCCCTGGTGGAGGACATGGCAACCCACTCCAGTATTCTTGCCTGGAGAATCCCCATGGACAGGGGAGCCCGGCGGGTTATAGCTCATGGGGTTGCAGAGTTGGACATGACTGAGCGACCTAGCACATGTAAACTATTTCACAATGAGAAAGTAGTCTGTGTATCAGCTTATAGCAAGCATTTCCAAAACAGCCATTTAAAATAGATTAATAAAGCTCCCTACTATTTAAAATAACTAGCCATGACTCTCACTAATGGCCCACTAATGAAGAAACAAAGAGAAATTATTAGATCTAGGAAAATTAAAAATCTAGAGGAAGTGTGTTAGTAGTAAAGTTGAGTCAATTTACAGACTGTCTTAGAATCCGTTAAACATAATTATCAAGTACTCACAGCTTTGAAAAGTGACTCTGCATTGTCATTACTCAAAAGTTGGGATTACACCTAAAAGGTCCATCAAAGTCAACTGGTAATGTAAGGTCATATTCTAAAATCTTTAAGTTAAAAAGGTCTCTCAAAGTGCAAGTCATATCTTTTTCTCAGATTAAATTACCCAACTTGCTTTGAGCATTTATTTCAATATATTGTTTCTGTCAGCATTTCTGAGTTCCTGATAACAGGAACCAAAATAAATTACACTTTGTCCACCACACCCCAGGTGACACTCAGGCTAACTCCAAGGCCACTGTCTGGGAGGATGTAATTTTTTTCCTTGAATAAACAATTTTTTTAAAAGTTAATTGAAAAACAGGCAGAGTTATACTTACCCCATTTTGTTCGCTTCCCTGGAAACCATTAATTTCAAGGAAAATGGAGACAAGGTAGTCAGTTTTTATCAACAAATTATAAAGACATCAATATAAATCAACAAAAATTTTTCTAGTTGTAAAGCCACTGTAGCAAATTTTTTCTAAGTATTTTTTTGCCACTCTCCAACATGAAGCCTTTTTTTCCCCCCAATTAACTTAAATTTCACAGTTGCTTTGGGAATTGCTTCATTGTCCTAGGATTTACTTCTGTGATAAAGAAAAAAAAGTGAAAAAAAAAGAAAGGCTTTATTTTATTTGACTTAATTGCCTAAGAGCTTTGAAATGTGAACAACTTAACAAAACAACAGATGTGAAATTAACACATCCATGTCTCTTGTTGAAACAGGGAAAAGCAGAAAGAAAGAGAAATGCCAGGATGCTGACTTGTACCCTCTAGTGGAAACAGAACCATGTCCTTGTGATGTGTTTACATCTCATCCTTATGGAAATTGGTCAGATTGCATCCTTCCTGAAAGCAGAAAGGAGCCTCACAGAGGACTGCGGGTACAAGGAGACGCCACAGAATGTGGAGAAGGCATGCGCTTTCGGGCAATAGCCTGCTCTGATAGAAATGGAAGACCTGTTGACCCTGTCCACTGCAACAGTTCTGGTAAGGAAGTGGGTGAGGAGTAACACATGAGAACACTGACATATAGCCCAGGATGTGTGTCCCAGGTCTAAAATGCTTAGCCTTGTTTCTTAGTAATTGTTTCAGTTTTCCTTTGTCAAAAACACACTGCCTCTCATTAAGTATGAATATAGGAAATGCACATATCCATATCTCACTGCTTATCTGGAATGTGAGTGTTCAGGATCTTTGACTCACCTCTCTCTATACTTCACCTCTGATCACTTGCTCCCATGTGTGAGCACAGGCTCTCTCTGAGAAAGCCAAAGCCCAGCACAAATGAATATATTTTATGCTGTTCATTGGTGCTTTAATCACATATATAGAAGGCATCAGGCCTTGAATGTCTTGTAAGGGTGTTGACAAAATACCAATGAAAATGTTAATATTAAATGTTGTACAGTACCGTGTGTAAGTACACCTAAATTAAGACTAGAACTATAGGAAAGAAATTAGCTGGAAGAATTTTTGAAACTTTAATCAGGAAGAAGACTCTCTTTTTTATTATTTTTGAACCTTGACATAATTTAAAAGATATGGGTGAACAGAGAAAAGAATGATGGTTGAATACAGTTGGTGTCGACATTGATGGAGGAGGCTGTGACTGTTGATAGCAATGGAGCTTATTGAGTTCCTCTCTGCTTTTTGGTTTTTAATTACCTTTAAACGAACAAAAACTAAAGAAGTTAGGGATTTTATAGAAGGTATGAATAGAGAGAATTTATGTTTGAGTGGTAAACTCTAAAAAAAAATAAAATTGATAGATTTGGGTCACTATCATCAAGGCTTTTATATTCTAGTAAGCTTTCTCAATAATATCAGAAATAACAAATTGAATTCACTTTTAACACACAAGTAAATGATAGTTTGTCTTTATTCTATATTGGTAATGTATCAGCTCATTTTATTTAGGCTATGCCTGGATCATTACAGGAATGCAATTTAAGACTTAATAATTTTTAGTTAGCACAGTCATTGTACTGCCTGTTGAGTTAGTCTGCGGTGTTGTATTCAGTGATTTTCCTTTCAGAAACATTAAACACATCACAGACCAGTAATGGACCCATTTGGGAAAAACTGGCACCCCGGACAATCCCATGGGCGGGGGAGCCTGGTGGGCTGCAGTCCATGGGGTCGCAAAGAGCTGGACATGACTGAGCAACTTCACTTTCACTTTTCACTTTCACGCATTGGAGAAGGAAATGGCAACCCACTCCAATGTTCTTGCCTGGAGAATCCCAGGGTCGGCGGAGCCTGGTGGGCTGCCGTCTATGGGGTCGCACAGAGTCAGACACGGCTGAAGTGACTTTGCAGCAGCAGCAGCAGCAGAGTTGGTTTACTCTGATCCTTGTTTTTCACCTTTGAAATACATTGTTGTTGTTTAGGGCTTCCCTGATGACTCAGATGGTAAAGATTCTTCTGCCTGCAATTCAGGAGTCCTTGGTTTGATCCCTGGGTGGGAAGGATCCCCTGTAGAAGGGAATGGCTACCCACTCCAGTTGCTTAGTCACTACGTTGTATCTGACTCTCTTGTGACTCCATGACTGAAGCCCTCCAGGCTCTCTCTCCATGGGATTCTCCAGGTGGGGATAATGAAGTTAGTTGTCATTTCCTTCTCCAAGGGATCTTCCCAACCCAGTGGTTAAACCCAAGTCTCCTGCATTTTGGTAGGTGGATTCTTTACCACTGAGCCACCTGAGAAGCCCTTAGTATAAATAGTGGCTTAATTTTTAAATTTTCTTGAAATATATTTGATGTATAACATTCATTGCATAAATTTAAGGTGTACAATTTAATTCAAGACATTTGTAGGTTGTAATATATTGCAATTGTAGTGATGATAACCACATATAATATTACATAATCATTTCTTTTCAGTGGTTGGAATAATTTTAGTCTCAGTAAGTTTGGTTATAAGACTATATTATTGTCTATATTACTGCACTGTGCATTAGATCTCTCTGGCTTTTTTACTATTCATTCCAAGCTCATACTATTAAAAAAAATTATCCTATTCTTGTCTTATCCCTCCACTCCTATCCCCTGGAAACCACCATTTTACTGTTTTTATGAGTTTGTCACTTTTAGATTACACGTATAAGTTGATATAATATAGTATTTCTCTGTCTGACTTGTCTCAGCTACTAACCTCTAGGTCCATTTACATTGTCACAGACAGTGAAGGTCTTTCTTGTGGCTAGATAATAGTCCATAGTTTACATACACTACAAATTCTTTGACTCACCTGTCGAGGGGCACATAGATTGTACATTTAGCTGTGGGCAACACAATTCAGTAAATTCTGAATTACCTATGCTAAAGGATTTTATGGAATATTCAAACCACAGATAATATTAGCCGGTCTCTTTGTCTTTAGGAATATCACTTAGGGGACCAGTATTAAAATTATGTCTCATTTAAAACAAACAGAACACTTAAGAGTGGAATTTGTGTTGGCCAGATGTTGACTCTGGATGATTATCTAATTCAGTCAACAGAATAGAATGTGCCAAAATAATGATACTTTAGGTGAGTTACTTCCAATTATGTCTCTTATCCCGGTAATATTATTTTCAAAGACTAGGACATGAATGCACCCCCACACCTCAACATACTCCATTCTTCTCTCCCCTATTTCCTGCCTTCATCCCTTCCTTCATTCCCGTCTCTGCTCATGACAAATCTTTGCCCAGCTCCTCTGATAAATCATTGTTTCATCACTTCCTATGCCCCGTGCATGTATGTGTGCTAAGTTGCTTTAGTTGTGTCATACTCTGTGCAACTCTATGGACAGTAGCCCTCTAGGCTCCTCTGTCCATGGGATCCTCCAGGCAAGAATACTGGAGTGGGTTGCCATGCCCTCCTCCAAGGGATCTCCCCCACCCAGGGATTGAACCTGTGTCTCTTATGTCTCCTGCATTGGCAGATGGGTTCTTTAACACTAATGCCACTTGGGAAGCCCCTTATTCCCCTTACCCATCTTCATCTTTCTTCATGGTACTTAATCACTTACTAAAATATTATGCATTTGCATTTTAAAAATACTTTCTCTCTCTCTCTCCTATGATTGGATAGTAAAATTCCAATAAAGAAAGAACTGCTTTTTATTTTTTACTTTTCTTTTCAGCTATATCCATGGCACCTAGAATGATGCCTGAAAATTAGTAGGTATTTAAAACATATTTGTAAATATATGACTAGACCATCAGGTCTTAATAAGTTTGCCTCCTAAGTATTTTCTCAAGCTTCTCTTTTCCTCTTGCTGTCTACTACACCCAGTGACATATTTTACAATATTGTCTTAACTACCTGATATCTATTATTCACTAAGAGCCATCAATCATCACACTAAAAGACATGTGTGACCATGCCAGTGCTGTGCTAGCAGTTTCTCCTGGTTTCTTCTGCACGTACCAGCTCCTTAACAGGACACCAAAGGAGTTCCATGACTACGTATTCCACCTGGCACACTCTTTCTCCTCCTTTCATGAGACTCCTCTTCCTTTGGTATAAGACAAAGTGATGCCTGATCCAGGAAGCACTTTTCCTACTTCCATTTCCAGGGTAGGTGAGAGGATCATCCTTTTCTTCCTTTATCAATATATTTAGATTTTCTTTTAGCCATATACTTTTCTGTTTCTCTTACTAACCTGATTGTTTATTGAATCAGGTACATTTCAATTCAGGTGTATTGACTCAAGTTCATTGCTCCATCCCCAGGGCTTAACACAGTGTCTGGTCCACCATAGACTGTCAGTTATGTTGGTTGAATGAATGAAAAGTTGAGTTTAGATATGCCCAGAGGCAACATGCATGCCTTGATAAAAGTTCTGAGTGTGTGTGTGTGTGTGTGTGTGTGTGTGTGTGTGTGTGTTAAGAGTTGTTTGGGTAGAATAGCTGAGTACAGTAAATATGGAGCCACAGAGAAATTGACTCTAAAATACAGGGTCAGACAAAATAGAATATTTTGTTCTATATTGCCCTTAAAAAAAGTTTGGGATTGGGGGAATCCTAATTGTACTGGAATGAAATTGTATTGCTACCAGTAGACAAGGGATATTTTTGAAAGAATGGGTAAAATGCAGAAAAACAATTGTCCTAGTGATCCAGTGAGAACTATGTGAATAAAATTTTAATTCATCAGATTATAAAGTGAAAATGTAATCTGTTTCAAATCAGATTCCAGATAAATTACAATTGAGTTTGATAGGCAGTTAATTATCTTCATTAATATTTCACCCAGAAATAACTTGGCATTTGCAACTTAAGTCTAGTACACCAATTTGATTAATTTGCTGTTATATATAAGGAGGTATGGATAGCAAACAAAGCATAATAGTCTAAGAAATCTTTGTGATTTAAAGAATAATATTTCATGTACTTGCAGTTACTGACAAAATGTGAATTTAATCTTAGTACCTTTAGAAAGTTTAGTTTCTATGACTATATTGAATTTTATATTATTGAAAAGATTTAGCTCAACTACTTATGGGCTAGTTTATTTTGGCCAAGATAGGAGATTGAAATTTACATCTTTATTAACTGAATTGTTTAAGAGAGCATTTTATGAAGTGTCCTGACAAAGAGTTGTGTGTATCAAAGATAGGACGAACTTTTAAATGTATTGTGAACTCTCCTTTATGAGTCCATCAGGCAGAGAGACTGAGTAATTATATCTCTTGCAGAAGGAAATAGCAACTCTCTAGTCATCTGCAGCTTTTGCCAAATGACCTGTTTCCTAAATATTCTGCACCTGTGTTTTTTCAGATGTTGAAAAGCTCTTCAAATCATCACTTGAGAAGGAATAATAGTGTCTACTCCTTAGCAAATTAAGTTTGACAAGATGGATATGCTTCTATGTTTTCTATGTTGAGATTTTGCTTCCTTTGCTTCATTTTTCCTGTGAATGTTGCTATAAAAATTCATATGAAATCACTACTTAGAGATGCTTCGATCCTCTATCCATGTTTCTCCATTCCAGT